AAAAACATATCAAATACCTTTTTTTACCATTGCGTGAAATACTTTTAACTGACGCACTTCATACTCTTTATCTGAAACACGAATCAATTTTTTAATTAACAATCAACAATAGTCATATTCTATAAAGTCACACCTCTACAACACGTCTTTCCTGGTCCCAGCTATTATGAAGCATAGTAAATTTGAGCCACAACCTTTTTAAAGTCGCACTTTTTTGTGTCCCGAGCGTGTGATTATATAGAGGGTATGATTTTACAAAAAAATTCATTAATATCTTCAGAAAAAACAACCTAATGTCCTATACGCGTTTTTCCAATCGCCAATAATACACCAATTCATAAAATCTTGTTTCTGCGTTTCGATTGCTTTCAACGCGCACTCCCGCGCAATCTTCCTTATTTCCATAGGAGACAAAACAGTACCGTCTGCCTTTTTGGTTATGTTAAAATAATACATTTAAATCATCAATTACAAAATCAGATTTAGCAGCGACATTGAAATCATACACGAACTTTGAGCTCTGACAGTGTCTTCAATTCAATTGGCAGTCCATGACAGTCCCATCCTGGAATGTAGCTAATAAATATTTCGAAATCAAATAATAAATACTTTGGTTCAGGGTTTTTCGCAAAATAAGAGAAGTCATATTTTCTTTTTGTTTTCGTCATAATGAAAGTGGCACATACTTTATACCCTTGAAAAATTTTATAGCGATTTATGATGTCTTTTAATATTTTATTGAATGCATGCCCTATATAATTATTTAATGGATTATTCAAGTATATATATATAGACATATAAAACAGATTCTTAGAAATCTCAACCTATATGTAAATTTCCATTCGCGTACGGTGGACCATCATGTAGTATAAATAACTCTTTTGGATTATTCTCTAATTATTATTAAATCATTAAATAATATATTCAAATCATTTCATCAATTTCTGTAATAATGTACATTTATGCGTAAATATTCAAAAAATCTATGAATTGTGTGACCTGCCATAAATATAAATCTTCAGTACATCGTTTTCTAAATGTAATTTCGCATCCGCACGAAGCGGAAAATTTGTTTTAGGTAAGAGTAAAGTATCACTATACGCCTTACTAGCAGACTCATTAGATTTTACTTTAGATTCTGTTGCTAGCCTTACAACAGAAGTGGATATTGTACGACGCAAAAACGTAAACGTATTTATGTTAGACCTAGTATTTCTTATATTAATATGAAAACTCCGAGTGCATAATAACTGTCGGATGCTTCGCATATAGACAGCGCTTTCGAAAGACTTAGTTATCATAATAAATTAGCGAAAAAAAACGCGAAAACTTAAAAAAATAGATTTGATTTCGATCCGAGTATCCAAAGATCTGGATCAGGCTTGAAATATATATGACTCACTCAAGAGAAAAAATTTTCTTTGGTTTTTGTTCGTGATAAATATTTTAACAGCTAATTCATCTCGTCCAGGTTCGAGTATACTTAATTAACATTAACTTTAAGCTTTTATTATTAATAGTCGACGTTATTTATTTTTTGACGAAAAATACAGCAACTCTCTGGACGTCGAATAGAGTATCAATTGTTTCTGCAAAATTGGATGACCATGGCCACATTCACAAAAAAGACGAAGAAATAATGGAAGGAATAACGGATAATATGCTCGATTTTATATCCTTTTAGTACACTTTCTGAAAAACATATTTTATTTCTTGACCTTTTTTTTATATAATCTCGCCTTGTGTAGATTATATAACAGTACGCAAAGAAAGATCAATAACCACCTCAAAGCAATACTATCACAAGCGGTGCTGCATCTTCTCTGCCTACTCGCTTTACAACTATTCATCCCTTATTACCTTTTCCTCTTTCTACATTTAACCCGAACGAAAAGCTTGTGTTAAGGGCAAACATACATATGGACAAGGGTTTATCCCTTTCTCATATCAAATAAATACCCTTGGGAAGGTCTGAGAAAAACCACAATTCGTCTTTAGTTGAGATTCTTGCGAGAGCGAGAGGTAAATCACCAGAAACGATACCCTCCTAACTTGGCATTGAAATCTTTCCAAGATGGATTGCTTCTGGGTTAGGAAATGGTTGAGACGCGGTTTATCGGTGTAGTTCTATGAAGTGGAATACGCAAGACATCACATTGTGATGTAACTCAATTCAGACTACTCTTTCGTTCGGGTTACTTCATATTTTATTTTGACTTTTGCTGTATATTATATTGCTATATAGATTTTATTTCCAGTCAGAGAATACTGTTTTTTATTTCTATCATTTATATAAGTATAATATATTCTTTGTAATATTTTATATGTTAGGTGGGGGCACCATATTGTAAGACTGCCTTTTCTACCACAACAAAAAATTAAAATGTATTATCGTTATTTTGACTACGTCCAGTTGACAACACTGGTAGGGCGCCTATACATTGATTAATGGTGATATTCTAGGACCCGATGCTTCTGTTGAACATAAAGATAGCTTGCCATGTTTTGCATCATCTTTTTGTGATTTCTACTTATTATCACAGATGGAACGCTCTATCAAATGCTGATAAACAAGCATTTCCGAATTACAATTATCTAGTAATACACTTCCGTGCGAAAATGATGCGATTACCTCTATTTTGTTTGATGCCACATCAATCTGTTGATTTCTCGGTTAGAAATAATATGATAGCAACAAAATGATGTGATGCATGTATTCATTAACCAGAAATCCATTATTCAACAATTTTTTGCTCAGTTCTTTTAGCCGATTTTCCCTCCATAAAAACTTTATTAATATGAGTAGTAATAATGTCTTAGAGTCCAAAAATATAACAGCGGAAAGCACAGAAAGTGACTCAAATATAGAAGATAAATTCAATGTTATCACTGAAGGAAAAGCTAGTATACTGTTTCCGAAATCAAATGAAGTATTTTACAACCCAGTTCAAGAATTCAATCGTGATTTGTCAATTGCGGTAATACGCACCTGGAGCGAAATTCTACGTGAAGAACGAGAAGAAAAAGCTAAAAAACAATTGCAAAGGCAAACACCGCCAGCCGGTGAAAGCTCAAACGTTGGGGCTACTAATGCTGGTAAGAGCTTTTAACAGCTCTTATTAAAGCAGTATAAGTCTAAACTGTTTTAATAAAAGCACTTTATAATTTTTCATTCAAGCCGCAAGCAAAGTGGAAGTAAGAGCGCATATTTTAATTATATTAATATATCATCACAAAAAATACCATTTATAATTTTTCGCAAGCAAATTATAGTTATATATCACAAAAATTACTATTTCTCCTCATATTATCGTCACTTGTATTGATTTTGTGCTTTACACAAACGATAGTCGAAATTTTCTTATACGATTCTTGAAGCATTAGCAGCAAGTGGTTTACGTTCGATTCGCTACGCGAAAGAATTACCAAATCTAAAATACGTAGTCGCCAATGATTTAGATTTAGAAGCGGTGAATTCAATCAAGAGAAGTGTACAATATAATGGGCTCAGTGATGAATTAGTGCGGACGAGTCAAGGAGATGCTTGGTGATTGCAAAATTGATAAAAATTTGAATTTAGGGTATCGTTAGTATATTAATAAAATTATGTGTTTTTACTTGATAAAAGTGATATTATGTATCAACACCGGAATCCATTGAATCAATTTGACGCGATTGATATTGATCCGTATGGGACCGCGGCCCCCTTTTTGGACGCTGCTGTACAAGCAGTTAAAGATGGAGGTAAGGACCTGGAATATTTTCAATTTTACTTGAATAATTACAAAATATTTATTATGCGGTAGTGAATTATTAGGTCTGCTATGCGTCACTTGCACCGATGCGGCTGTACTATGCGGTTCTAATTATCCAGAAAAGTGGTGAGGTGGTTAAAGAAATTTTTAAATTTTATTATTATATTAATTGGATAATTTTTATAAAAGTTATGCAAATTACGGCGCAATACCTGTGAAAGGCGATTTTTGTCATGAAATGGTGTGTACTCAAAGTTTTGTCATAAATATTATTACTCAATTTGATTTCGTTCAAATATTATTCTTTAAATAAAGGCACTTCGAATATTACTTCATACTTTAACCACATCAGCATCTCGTTACCGACGTTACATTCATCCTCTTATTACCCTCAGTATTGATTTTTACATTCGAGTGTTTGTGAGGGTTTTTAGTTCTCCAATCCAGGTGAAAATGGCGCCATGGTTAGTTCATTTAGGATTACAAACTGATTTTTATGAGAAGTTTCAAAAGAGATTTCATCTAAAATATTTGTGCGACAGCAAAACATCGCTTTTATACGTCTGCTCTGGATGTCACACATTTTATCTCCATCCTCTCGCCAAAAAGACCGAGAAAGGGACCTTTGCTCCGATGACGGGTCCTCCCGTGAACTCCATTTGTCATTTTTGCGGGAACAAGTTCCATGTAAAAAGTCTTTGACATTTTTGATTGTTTCCTTTAATTTATCATTTTTATACGTTTTGGCTTTTGTATAGACTGGGGGTCCGATATGGGGTTATTCATTACACGATAAAGAATTTGTCCGTCGGATTTTGAAACACATCAAAGAATCTAGTACCGAAAATTATAAGACTCATCCTCGCATGTTTGGTATGCTTACAGTTGTATCTGAGGTAAAGATTAACTTCTTTACTTTTTACTATTGTGTAAAGATTTATTTATAAATCCCTTTAAATAGGAGATTGACTCGCCTTTCTATTACATCTTATCATCCCTTGCGGCAACTGTACACACTACCAATCCATCTTTAAAACAATTTTGGTAACTATAATTAATCCTCATATGAAATAAACATAACTATAATTAACCCCTCATGTGAATTGAACACTTGTGAAAAATATAATATATTTGAAGTTCGGCAATTTTGAACAAGGGATACAAATTTTCTGCGTCACATGCGGCTGCTGGTTCATTAAAAACTGATGCACCACCAGAAGTGATTTGGGATATTGTTCGTTCATGGGTGAGTAGCAATTGTTTTTGTGTTTCAATTTTCGAATAAATCTAATTTTATTTATTTTCTAGGTTAAATTACATCCAGTCAATTATAACAATATCGCTGCAAATGCTCCAGGAAGAAAGATACTGAGTAATCCACCTAGGTGCGCATCATTTTTAACACAAAAAGATAAAAACGAATGCTAATCAAGTGTTCCATAATTTTTATAGTTTCGAGGCTGATTTTACTTTTCACAAAGATGCAGATCCTCAATCAAGGAAGATTAAGCTGGTACGGTTTCAAATGAATCCACAGAAAAATTGGGGTCCGAAAGCTAGAGCGTCCTCGAAAAGACCAAGGTCGTAAGTATTGATGATCTTTTGCGCTATTAAAAATCGGTTGATATTTATTCTTTCGTTATTTAAAGTGATGACGAGGATGATCAGGATGATCAAAAACACGAAGCAATCACCAAAATACCTTCAAGAAAGAAAATTGCCGAAGAAACACATAATTAAGCAATGAATACATAACCATCATCATATCACATAATAAAAAGATTTTTACACACATTTTATTTCGTTTGATTTGCTTTACATAATCCAAACGGTCATCACTGCATTTAAATATTACATTTTTTTGTTATACTCATCTAATTTATGAGAAATACAGCATACAGAGAAACCCTCCTAAGTACATCACCCCCTTGGACCGGTCATGAGCTTGCATTTAGAGCGAGAATTTAGGATTAATGTAATGTAATAATACATCATAATGTAATCATGCATCATACTTGTATTAATTAATCAATCAAAATATTCGCATTATAATAATATCTTGAATTTTCATTGGATACATGTGATTTTTATCACGTGTCATGCACTTATGGAGGAACTACAAATATAATGGAACTAAAAATTTATTATACAATCAAATTTCTTTAACATAGTTCTTGCTGATCATCTCAACCTTTGAATGATTAATGATTATATCATGTGACAAAAACTATAATTACACGCGTCTTAAAAATTTTTTTTTATCAATCCGATGTCAACTACAAAAGCTTCAAAATCTCTCGATATTGCTGAAGAAATTAGAAAGCTGAACCTTCGAAATTCTGGTGAGCTTCTGTTCAAACTTTTTATGATCACAAGAGTAATCATCGATAATTTCACCTTTCTCTTTCTAGAATATTGGACTCGCGATCCAAACCTTTGGGGAACTTTAAGCGACTGGGACATTCATTTTATCAATGAAAATCCTGGATGCACTAGAGAAGAAGCACATCGGAACCTTGGTGTTGAACTTGATATCCTCCTTAACAACTGCCGAAAAAAGGTCGTCGTTATACTAAAGCAACCACCTTGAAAAAGGCCTTGAAGGTTAGTCTCTTTTATTATTATGAGCACGTTCCACGCCCTGCAGTCACGTTCTGAGCGATTAGTCGCACAAGGCAACTCACGTTGTTGCTCGAAGTGGGAAGTATTTTATAGTTTGGACTTTTTAGGTCCCACTATATTATGCGTTGGATGCACCATTATTTGTCATTTTGCTTATACCTTGCAGTCATGTTCTGAGTGATTTATCACACAAGGCAACTCACGTTGTTGCCCGAAGTGGGGAAGCATGTTATGATCTGGGTCTTCGGGCTCCATCATAGCATGTGTGGGCAATCAATTAGGTTATCTATAATGAAACATTTTGATTAATTTTTCTTTCACCATTTTATCAAGAACTGTGAGAACGATTCCGCTAATGATTTATTATGGAAAAATCATCTCGTGAAATTAGAATCACTTGCTATTTCGGATCGAGTATACAAAGTATGTATTGTTATTACTAATATATTTAATGAGATACGGTATTTACTGTTTCTTTAATGGTTATTGTTAGCGTGAAATAAAAAACATCGCCATACAAGAAGAAATTGGACGAGCTGAAGAAAAGATGTTGGAGAAAAACCAGAAAAACGTAAAGCCAACACAGAGGACTCAAAAGTCGAAGAAAGGGTAATCCTAATTAAAAATACAGTCACTGACTTCAGGTTTAACTAATTTGTATTTCAATATTTTAGGTTGACTCCGATGATCAAAGCGAAAAACGGCAACGGGTAACTAGGAGTATGAGTAAGCGAAAAACGGAATCGTATACAAATTCAATAACAGGTTCCGAATCTTATGGATTAGGTGATGAATTGGATACTCTGGAGAACTTTGAAAACAATGAAGAGAATGAATATATCTATATCCAAGATAATGAGGTAAAGTAATTGCTAACAATATTCGTGGTGTTTGTTTCGTATTCAATATTTAATAATATTCATTTCTTTCTGTAGGAACCAAATAAGAAATCGTTAAAAGATCTGCTTGGTGGTGATCTTCAATGCTCAGAAAATATGAAATCTATCTGCCAACACCATGACACGCTATATCCTGGTGAAAATTTAATTGATTTACGACCTAATTCAAACTATTTCAAGAAACTTCCTTTCAAAATTTTGGAACCATATTTTAAGGAGCTTGATGACAAAATTGAGAATTTAATTCCATCCAATGTACACAAATTCCTGACAGAGTTCTTTCAGCAAGATTTGTCTGGCGAGGAATGGCACATCAAGATTGATGATCTACACTTTTCAGATAAAAGTGATTGGTTAATGGTATCTGTTATACGAATTTTGCGCAGAACATTACCTCCATTGTAAGCACCAAGTACAAATACTTTTGCATTCACCCATAGGTGTCATGTTTACTCAATTTTTGTAGTATCATGGCGTTTTCTATGGGAGCTCGAAATCCACTACTTAACTTGGCTACATTAGAGAGACCTCATTTAAACTCTTATGTCCATCCATGTTTACAAGCATGTCTTTGGTATATTTCATCAATATGCTACGAATTTGGAGAAATCGGATCAAAAAATCATACAAAACGTGAATGTGCTGACGGCATTGGGTATATGGAAGGGTCGAAGCCAAAGGCTAATGATGACAAAGAAATTTTGGACGCCTCAAAAATATCTCATAACCTTCAAAACATTTTGTAAATATAATAAAAGATAACATAAAATGTAGACGACGATTTCCCAAAACGCTTGCTGTTTTCGGTGGGCAAAGTTTCCGCCTTCGAATTCACCTACAATTTTTAGACTATTGTGGTAAGTTATGTATGTTTGATTTACATTATTGTCTATATTAAAAACATTCATTTTATTGATTAATGGTATTCTAATCTTAGAAGGAAAGTTCTGTCTTAATGAAGTGGACAATGCCAATCTTTCACGTGACTTCACAGAAATGGCGGACTTTGTATTTTTTTTTGAGTGCGTGATAAAATGAACTGTAAGTATCTTTGTTATTTACATGGTTAGGATTATTAATGGATTAATAGTGATAGTAATTAATTGTTAATGATTGAATTTTCAAACATACATTCAGTGATAATATCTTGATATCCAGTGATCTGATTCTTATAAAATATTATCATTTGATTCAGCTTGACAAAATGAATTGGATCACTGAAGTGTCAAGGTATTATATTTTAAATTTGTTGATTTAAGCAAAAATACTACTATTTGATTTATCTAGTTGAAATGAATCAAATGGTAGTATTTTTGTTCAAACCAGATCATGGATTGTTAAGAATAAGATTTTTGCATATTGAGATAAAATAACTAATTGTACTTAGTACACAAGCACACAATACCTGATATAGAAGTTTCAACAATTTATAAAAGATATGAATGATCAGTATTTGTATTGTTCTTTGTATTCAGAAATTCTATACATGGGAATGAGATACTTTTGCAAATTAAGACACTTGTAATCTATATATGTGAACAAATTATCTTTTTCTGCTGTCTATGCATTTTTCATATTTGCCTTGATTTTTCAACACCATTTGATAATAACATATGTAAATAAATTATCTCTTCGAATTTGGCAAGAGGCTATATCCAAGAATTAGTTATTAATTTTCCAACATTATATAATAATAACATATGTGAACAAAATTATCTTTTCAATTTGGCAAGAGATTATGTTCAATACCTCAAAAATTTAGTTATAAATATACTTGTATTTTTCCTCTATCATTTTATTTACTCAACAATACTATTATTAAAACTATCAATGCATTAAAACTATTAACGCATTAAAACTATCAATGCATTAAACTATCAATACATTAAAATTATCAATGTATTTATATTATTAAACATATAAAACAAATATTTTAAAACTATTAACTGTATTAAAATGATCACGATCACATTCACATTCAATATAAATACCAATTTCATCGCATTATTGCTCGCATTTCCTGATCATAAACACTTACATACATTCTTTAGTTTATAAATGTAATCAAGAATTTAATTCATGATACAATATCATTTAGTGATGAGAGTAGCAATTATTGTCACAAGTTGCAACTAGTCAATATGTCATATTCTCATTCAGTTTGATTAACGCTTTATTCATTTCCAAATTCATTAGGTCCCTTATTTTGTTCAAAGTTACCTTTTTTCAATTACTCTACTGCTTATGGATGGTAAATATTGGGATAAAATCCTTTGCGATATCTGTAAGATGAATAATGTATTGCTGAAATGAATAAGAATATCACTCATTGCTTTTGTATTTGGACTAAAATCAATATCTTTCAGTGATGAACATAGAATATAATCTTTGAGCAATTTTTTATATTAATTAAATATATTTATTTGTGTCATGAAATAAAATTATGACTTAATAATAATTGATAATATTTGTGTCATAAAATAAAATTATGACTTAATAATAATTGATAA